CAGTCCATGTCGAGCTGCTTCAACCCCACAGCGAGAAGAATTGGTGAAACCTTCGCCTACTGTCTGCTATTTGTTGTGTCGCTGGCTGCGAATTCCTTTATTGGAATAATTGTCTATAAGACGAAAACTCTGAGAACACCAATCAACATTTTTATTGTAAACATGGCAATCTCCGATCTGTTGTTTGCGATTTTCTCCTTTCCTCGACTTTCTGTAAAGTTAAACACAGCCGGCTACCGGCTGCTTAGCGGTCCCCTTGGCCAAGCGGTGTGTAAACTGAGTTCCTTCGCTACAGATGTCTCAACTCTAGTGTCAACTCAGAGCCTGTTGTTGATCGCAGTGGATCGATTTGGGGCTGTAGTATTTCCTCTCCGTTCCCCACTGATCAGTTCAAAGCAGTGCCGGTACTTCATTCTCGTCATTTGGATGGTCGCCTTGGCAGCCCATTGCCCATATTTGATCGCCCTGAAAGTTGTCGAGCATCCAGAAGGGCTCTTTTGTAGGTGGCAGTGGAATGACACATTTGGAGAGTCCCTATCGTTGCAAACCTACATACTGGGAATGATCGTTGTTATCATATATGTCCCTTTGGTTTTGATTGCCATACTTTATTTTGTCATTGCCTTAAAAATTAAATCGCAGAAGATTCCAGGGGAGCAATCAGCTAATGCAAGAGAAAGGCGTTTGAAGAAAGAAAGAAATGTTCTTAATATGTCCGTTGCCATTGTCTTGGTGTTCGCCGTATGCTGGTTGCCATTCAGCATCTACGTCGTGCTGTTCTTTTATTCATCAAAAATGGCTATGAGGTCATCTTGTGGCATGCAATACTTTAAAACTATTTCCTTTCTTCTGGCGTACTCGTACTGTGCTGTAAACCCTTGCATCTGTTTTATCTTCAGTGGTAGTTATCGTCTATGTCTTAAGAATCTCATCAGTTGCTTTTCTACAGGCGAAGCTGCTTAGCTATCGTTTCCTCCCCAGACTTCTGCATACCGTTTGGATTTATCTGAGGATTAATGTGGCCGAACGTGCCCTCCAGTTCTTTGTCCCTACTTATAGAGAATTTGAGCAGAGACGTTTTTTAGGTGCAGGTGGCAACCGGAGAAAGAATAAAACTAAATCTGGCGCGATTTGACGCTAATTCATCAACCACAAGGTATTCATTTTTTAATTTTGTACCAAATTGTACAGGCCAAAAAGATGTATTTATCACCGGGAATAAGAACTTTTAACTTCCAGCTACCGTCCGCGTCTGCCTTTGATGCTTAAGCTCCCTAATAACTACACTTACGACGTAATTGGTGCGGTCTAACCCATCCATCAACTGATTTACTGTTTAACCCTACTTCTGCTGGTTAAAAAACGCACAAATTTGTCCACATTCAGTTTTTAATTCATATCTCAACAAATATTTACAGGAATAACACCTACAATATGTCATTTTAAAGTGTATAAAATGGGCTTCTCAGGAAAAAAAAAATTCATCATTGAAACCCAGGACTTTCCTAAAAAGTAAAATTTAAAACACAAAATAAGTAAGACATAGTGTAAAACTTGAGGTCAAAGTCACTTTTCCTCACAGGTATAGGTTACTTAAGATTAATTGATAGCAGAAGTTAATTATACCATTATTTAGAATAATTATGGCTTAATGATCGTTTGATATATATAATTCAAGGTACATATGTTGTGAATATTTTTTTGTAGAGAGCTGTCGTTGAAATTTTCCTAAGAGGTAAAAGGATCAGATAGAAAATAAGATCGAATAGATCACACGTAGCCTCCAGTTAATGAAGACAAAACATATTACATAACCACAGCTCTTTCATGACCTTTTAGTTTGCGAAAACTTAACCCGCCCGCGTCTTGTTTTATATAACCGAAAACATATAATTAAACCCTTTTTTTACAATTAAAAGGAAGTTAACATGTTGTTTGAATGAGTGTGCCTGAAATGGTTTTTAAACGAAGGGATGAAAATATATTGAGAGCAATAGAAAGAATTACATCTGTTTATTCTTTGGCATGAGAAATAAAAGGAGATATCAAAGAAGTACATGGGACATTAGGGTTTGACTGAATTAAGAAAAAAAATTGATTGAGAACTGTAAGAAATTTTGCGCTTTTTAAACTTGATCAATTCCTTCCTTAGCACTCATATTACCGGCCACTTTGTAAGTTGCTTTTACCTCGGGGTAGAATGACATTTGTCGCTCAGTAATATTTACAGCTGTAATTACTGACCTCACTAGAGCACTTAACATAAGTGGGTTTATACGGTCGTTAATGGCAAAGGAAAACAGTAAAATTAAATTTTTCAGTTTACTAGGTTTTTCTCAAAAGAATCTCTTGGTTTCTCTATAATTCTTTAAAATACGGTGTACTATATCTTTGAACATTTTCCTTCTCTAATTATAAGCCGCCATCACACGGAGCCAACTGTCAAACGTAATTCAATACATAACGCTATTTCAGTATTTGTTTTCTAATCATTTGCTAAAGTTTTATTGCCTTTTTAATTCAGATCACGCTCTGCAAGGGGAAGGAAGCAGCCAGCTTTCGTTTTAAATTCCTTTTTCCCCGTTTTCCGTCCCTCGATTACAAGGCCATTTTCGTGCACAAAATAAGGAAAGATACGCATAACTTGACACATATTCCTCGCTTTTCTAGCTGACATTAGTTTTTCACGACTCATTCTGGCTAAGACATCCGTCAATCGTCGATCTGTTACGCAAATAGTAAGCAAACAAGCGTTCAAGAAACAACCACAACAATTATCATCAAGTGACTGAAGCAGAGATCCATGACATGTATTGAAAGCGTTTTACATACACGTCAAGATGCGGAAACAGAAGAAAATGGAACTTTCTACAACTGTTCCTTAGGCCAATGATTTTTCTATTTAAAGTACAATTATTCAAATGAGATCATTCCCAACTATTTCATCTCAGGTAACTAATACGGTTCATCGAAACCGATATTTATTTTTTTTTACTCTTTCGTCTTTTTGTTCTTCTTTGATAGTCATATCACCTGTACTTTGGTTTAAACGCAGGGACTGAAATTTGTCGCTCGGCCATGTTTACATTTTGAATAGGTGACCTCGCCGAAGCACGGAAGGTTAATGAGTGTATGTGGTCGTTTGAAGCAACGGAGATATCATATTTGCTGTAATCCTCCAAAATATCTTTCGTAAAATTAAAAAAAGAATACTGATCTGTTTCACTACTTGTGTGAATTTTTTCGTTTCAAAGTGGAAAAGCGGAAAACAGGCAGGAAAACGTTGCATAGTCACCTTTTGCAATACTATTTGCCGTTAACGTCACGTTTAACTTCTCTATTTTAGAACAACTTTCTTTCTCAAACGTGATGATTCTGAGACAAGCTGTCAACTGTCATTCAACGTCACTAAATTATTCTATTTCGGTACTCGCCATTCTATCACGTGCTTTATTCATGTTTGCCTTTAGATTCAGATCACGCCTTGCGTTGAACTACCTTTCTTAGTAATGATTTGTTTTTCCTCTTTTATACGTAAATACATTTCTCTTAAATTGTTGTTTTCACTTTTTGTTTTCCAATTCTGTCTGTAATTATATTCGTGATTAAAAAATTGTTGTTTTCACCATATACCAATCATACCAAAAGGTTAGAAAGATTTATAGAATTCAAAATCAGTTTTTTTTTCTTGACAATCCTATTTTAACTGACTCTATTCCTTACCTAAAAAAAAGTTTTTTGAGTACAGACTGTAAGTCGAAATTAACTGAAAGTAAAATGATATTTGAAGATTCTTAGTTAATAAATTTTTAATGTATACGTAGACAGTCGCCTCTGCTTTACTTAAATAGAGTATATGGGGACTCAGACTTTTTTCTTTGTCGCACGCTCTTGACAAGACGAACACATCTTTCTTCTAGAAATTTATACGTCGAGAATAACTTTTGGATCCGTACCTGAACAAGATTGTTTCCCCCAAACGACTAATTGTTGATTGGTTTTATAGAGTGGATGCAGCTCTTTTGAAAGAATAGTTTGTTAAAAACTGTGAGAAGGTTTTTCCGTAAGGTAAGTGCACTCTTTTACTGTTTTACGGTTTTTTCCAATGAATAAAGTATGACGTTTCGCATGGAGGGAGCGGAATAAAACAATTTTAAATTTGTCTGAACAATTAGCTTTGTTTTCTTTAAATAGAGTAGAGGCAGCCTCCAGATAACCACTGACTCTGACTGAATAAGAACTGATCTTTCAGAATGTCAGAAAATGTGACTGCAACGATGAATGGAACACAATCCATGTCGAGCTGCTTCAACCCCACAGCGGCAAGAATCGGTGAAACCTTTGCTTACTGCTTGCTATTTATTGTTTCGTTGGTTGGAAATATCTTCATTGCAATGATTGTCTTTAAGACAAAAACTCTAAGAAAGCCCTTTAATTTCTTTACTGTTAGCATGGCCATGTCCGATTTGCTTCTTCCGATTTTCTTTTTTCCTCGTAATTTGGTGTTGTCATACACTCGCTCCTGGCTCATAGGCGGTCTGCTTAGTCAAGTGTTATGTAAGCTTAGTATGTTGGTACCTGGTGTGTCCTTTGCTGTGTCTGTTCAAAGCCTGGTTCTAATAGCGGTCGATCGATTTGGAGCTGTGATATTTCCCCTCCGTTCCCCGCTGATTAATTCAAAGCGATGCCGGTTCTTCATTCTCGCCACTTGGATAATCGCTATCGCTATCTTTTGCCCAAACCTGTTCGCCTCGAAAGTTATCGAGTCTCCAGAGGGGCTGGCGTGTGTGCATGATTGGAACTCGGACGCATTCGGGGAGTCCTTGTCCTTCAAAAACTTATATTTGGTAGTGCTTGTTGTATTTGTTTATGTCCCTTTGGTTTTTATCGCCATAGTTTACTCTGCCATTGCTTTAAAAATCAAATCCCAGAAGATTCCAGGAGAGCAATCAACTAACACAAGAGAAAAACGCTTGAAAAGAGAGCGAAATGTTCTTAAACTGTCCGTCGCCATCGTGTTAGGGTTTGCATTGTGCTGGCTGCCCTTAAGTATTAAGTGGTTCATGCTCTTCAACTCAGACCGAACAATAACATCATCTTGTGGCTTCTATTACTTCTGGTATGTTTCCGTATTTCTAGGTATGTCGAACTGCGCGATCAACCCTTGGATCTGTATATGTTTTGGTAGAAATTATCGCCAAGGTCTCAAGAATCTTCTCAGTTGCTCTTCTGCTGGTCCTGACGTTGATCGAGATGCACCGTAGTGTGATCCCCGGGACTCTAAGACTTTATTTCGCTTAAGAATAAATTTTTTACTGAGTGTTTTTATTTCAGACAACGAAAAAGTCAGCAAGATAATTAGAGATCGTAAAGTGAAATGTGAAGTTTTTGAATTATTGATCAATCAAAAGAAATGGTGTAAATTGTCAGCTTGATGTCTTTTTAAGACATGGTAGATCAAAATGAGGACTTGGAGTTCTAGTTTTTGCTAACAGTAGCATTTGGGAATTATCAGAAAGACATGATGACTCTCTCTATTCAATACCTAAACTTTCAAACAAATTTTAAGCTTTTTAATGTTCCTTTGTCAGCCCACTTACTATAAACTTATCAATAAAGAAGCTGTGTCCAACGGTCAAACCGTTGTTTGAACTTTTGCGTAACGACTGTTTTTGTGAGCTGTATTAATCTGATCACCTAATTAAAGGGCTTTATTTGAAATTTGGCTGAAACGTATCACGTTAGGTGACAAATATGATGTAGTGGACCAAAAAAGATGAAGTAGAATGTTTATTAGAAGCTGAGTCGAGTTTGTATCATTACCATAATCGTCATGATCATTATATGAGGTAGTATTCGCTTTCAAGATGACATTGCAGAATGGAAACACGATAGTAAATAAAATAAAGACAGGAAAAAAAAGCATCATTTTTCTCCTCGTCTATGGAAAAGAAAATCTATTTAAAAGCTTTCTAGCGATTCAATATTAACTGCCTCAAAGCTTTCGAGAACTCCAGTTGCCTTCCTTTTCATTTCAGAAAGTCGGTTATCAGGTGAATATCAAGGTAAACAAACTTTTTAAAATCGGATCTGCTGTCTTAACTTTAGGATTGGCTGCAAATGATTCGCAAAGTAACAGGATACATGATCCCTTCGATGTCAGTTAATGAGTTGATGTTCTCTAGTAAAAGGCTCAAACAAACAGAAATAATTTTGAGAGGAAAAAATGGCCGCTCTGTGTGGTGCACGGTGACATTACGCGGCGTACAAGTCCCAGCGACAATCCGTGTAGTGTGACATGGATAATATTTGTAAAAATCTTTCTTCCTGTGCCAGAGTTTTTTGCAAGTGATAATTCGCTGGAAGTTGAACTCAGACTGGGTTTGTAAATGGATGCAAAATCTTTGAACCACACCGAGTATGTGGCATTGGTTGATCTTTGTCACTTGTGCTAAGTTCTGCTTTGTGATTGATTACTTGCCACGATAGCAATCACTAAAAAACAAAACCGGGTTTCATTAATGTCGTAGACGGTCATCAAAACAACAGGTGCAGACTGTGAACCCAGAGAGATAGTCGGCGAGGGAGAGAGTCGTGTTAAATTTACCAACAAAACGTTCACTCTGGCAATGAAACTTGAAAATTAACTAGTACAGCTGAAGAGCTAAATTTCAAGGACAGAGAAAAAGTCTATCAATTCTCTGGTAAAATGTAAACTCAAACGATTTTTAACCAAAAAGCTTTCGAGGCTACGACTTCAATAGTTGGGGTGGTGGCGAGTATAGATTGGTAAAGGCAAGACCAGTCTAGACCTTGAACGTAATTAAGTAGTTCCTTTCGGTCAGCCAGCTGCTTTCTCGCAACAGTGGAAAAAAGTGAGCTTATTTTTTCACTCTACTCACATCGTAAGCAGCTAAGTTTGGGTTTGAACATTAGACTCAATGGCATATTTTCCCGTTACAAATCAGTATCTCTTTGAATAGCTTGAATTTGGTAGAGATGGCAGCCCCTTAATCCAAAGGTAAATCGGACAGAAGTTAAATGCATTTGTTTTCACTTAAAAGTCATCATGGTTACTGTTACAAGCGTCGAGAGACAATAATTCACTTATTTCCTAACCATACGAAGAAGTATTTCTCAAAACTGTTATTATCGCTGATATCGAGCATATTGGTTTTTTCTTATTATATTTATAATTTAACATCATAATACCAGTTGTAGAATATTTTTAACCATACCATTCCGGGTAACTATTGATATGTATGATAACGCAGTTTTTTAATCTCGGGAAGTTTTGGAGACAGAGTGCGAATTAAGACTGAAATTAATTAGGGCTGGAGGTGCTCCATAAAGTTAAACAGTTTTAATTAATATGTAGATAATCAGCTCCGGATACGTAATGTTATTACACATATAAATAATCAGCTGCGCGTGTGTTTAATGTCAATAGAGCGTAGGTAGGTAATCTTCAAAGTCACAGAACTGCTGGCTGAAGAAGAAACTTATCTCTTCGTTTTGAGAATGTCAGCAAACGTGGCAGTAATGACGACTGGAACACAGTCCACGTCGAGCTGCTTTAACCTCTCCGTAGAAAAAATTGGTTACACTTTTGCTTACTGTCTGTAACACCTGGCTGATCGATGGTCCTCTTGGCCAAGCATTGTGCAAGCTGTCTGGTTATTTAGTTGATGTGTCAAGTGCTGTGTCCATTCAGAGTCTCGTCATAATAGCCGTAGATCGATTTAGAGCTGTGGTATATCCCCTTCGTTCCACACTGATTAGTTCAAAGCGCGGTCGGTTCTTCATTCTCGCCACTTGGATCATCGCTATGCTTGTCTTCCGCCCATCCCTGTTTACTTGGAAAGTTGTGGAGCATCCAGAGGGGCTGGCGTGTGTGAGGCGGTGGAAAGTGGCAGTTGAAGAGTCTTTGCTCAAAGAAACCTTTCCTGTTGCGATGCCTATTTTATATCTGTATTTTCCTTTGGTTTTTATTGGCATTCTGTACCTTATTATTGCTTTAAAAATGAAAGCCAATAAGATTATAGGCTTGAAATCGGTAAACGTTAGAGAACAACGTTTAAAGAAAGAAAGAAATGTTCTGAAGATGTGCATTGCAATTGTGTTGATGTTCGCAGTATGTTGGGTGCCATTCAGCATCTGGTGGCTGTTGTTCCTCTACTCTTCAGACAGAACAATATCATCGTTTGGCTTTCGACTCTTTGGGGTCATTGCTGTATTTCTGAGGCAATCAAACTGTGCTGTCAATCCTTACATTTGCTAAATTTTCAGTGGAAACTATCGTCAAGGTCTTAAAAATCTCTTCAGTTGCTTCTCTGTTGGCCAAGCGCTTAATCAAATTGCACCTTGGTTTGATTCCCAATGTCTTACATTATTCACGCCCACAAAGGGATTAATTTCTTGATAAACTCCATGATTCATTTGCTAATGATTGTAAGGTAAATATTATCATCTGCTTTTATTCATAAAACATTTGACCGGGCCGTTTGCATGGCATGAAACAGAGTCCAGAGATTGGTTTCGTTACTCGCTATGTTATCAGTCTACATAAAAAAGAAATAAAAACAAGATTTTTAACATGCTCATGACGTATTATGATTTGTAACACATGAGTGGTCACAAAGTGCTTTTTATTTGTGACCAATCATGTATTAAAAATTATACGGGGAGGTGGCAAGTCGAGATAGGTCAGGGTAAGAGTATATAGTGCCTCAAAAATATTTAATCGTTTCCTCACAGTTAGCAAGTTGTTGACTCACAGCACAAAGGTTTCATGGTTGGCACCTGAGCTTGAGGTCTATTTCAGTTTGTCCATTGTAGTTGAAAGAAGTTGACAGAAGACTTTACTATTTGAAATAAATTTTAACCTTTACAAATTGAGTTCCTATCTGATTCCAAATCCGATGGCTAAGTTCCAATGCTCGATGTCTCATCACTTTTCCAGTATCTGGTGAACCAAATAATAAAAATAAAAGGCAGACAGACCATTTTGTCTGTGTACATTCTAATTATAATTACACTTTTTGAGCCCAAGAGAGTACACACACAGCTTTCCATAATGCGACTTTTAGCTTTTCCCTAGACCGAAAGGCCGGAACATGTCATTAAAAAAACTGCCATTTATATTGTGGTTATTCATGAATACATCAAGAATTTTGTGTAATTTTAAGTATCAGAAAGGCCACAAAATGTACACAGCCTCTAATTGACGTACAAGACACACTGACCGTCAAACAGATTCAAAAGCACTAATGGCTTTCTGGCAAAACCTGTCTTGCAAGTAGAAAAAAAAATACTGTCGGGACAGAAAATTTTACATGAGCGGCGGATGGAAAATATAGGTCCAGAAATCAGCAATTTTAGACATATAATACCAAACTATTACCGTCACTCTGTTCAGATTATCGCGAGAAAATCAATGACAGGAAGAGGTGCGAGACTGCCTTAGTGTTCGTTTCTATGGTATGTCGAATTTTCTTTGATATAATTTCCAGCGAAAGCAATATTAAATACATAGATTTTTGTGGCTCATAACTCTAAGCTCCTCTGTTTGCCTTTTTACAGAGATCTCCGACCATTACAAGGCTCCGGTGCTGAAAGAAAAAGCAGAGGGAACGTGACTTTGAAAGTCATCACAAATGTTAACGGAATTAACTTCCAGATCGGATAAAAGGTTTCGAGACTCACGATTTTTGAAGGTATCCGACTCACACGATTTGTTGTTTTGTCGGGCATAACTCCTGTATCTGTGTGTCGAGAAAAATATCATCAGTTTCCCCCAAATGTGGTCGTTCACTGTTGTATTTAGTGGCTTTACCTTTTGAACGAATCTTCGCCAAAACTCACAAGAGATTCAGTCACGCTACACAGATAAGGAAGGGGAAACTCTTTTTCTACTATTTTTTTTTTGCCCACGGTTTTGGGCAATGGATAACGCATGATACTTTTCAGAGACTGAGTGAAATATTTTCGATCAACTCATTTTAGAAATTTAAAATAAGTGTTCACGGACACAAAGATTCATTCCGTTTCTTTTGTATGTCAATTTATAATTCTCTAAAACTGATTTCACCACTGAGCGTCTTACTACCAAGTATTTTTATGAAGATGGTAACAATAACTCTCACGTTTATGGAGTAGATCTTTTACAATAGATTGTGAATATGTATTTAAAGAGTTGTAGAGAGGCTACATGCGACAATAATTATGTACACAGTCTTTATTTGGTGCTCTAGGCATGGTGGGA